TCAGTTCAGGCTACCTTGATGTTTATGTGGAAGAAGGACTCTGCAGCTGAAGTCTGCAGCACTTACGGACAGAAAGAAGCACCAGAGCTGTACTCTGCTCTGAAGTCAGAAGAGAGACGGCCTGTGGAGTGGGATGATCTGCTGAAAAAGACTGAAGTAAAGCTACTTGAAAGAACTACTACTCTCCTTCAACACTTGTTTTAAACTGTTTTGCAGTCTATCTTGGAAGAGGAGATGTTGTGCATGTACAGGCTTTACCATTCCAAGGCCTCTGACATAAATGGACATGACACACTGTCATTCAGTATTATGTTGACGAGACATTTTGAACTTACCACAGTTAGTTTGTAAAACACTTAAGTTCATGATCTAAAAACTAATTTAATGTATTATAATTTCATTCTTTTTTTATATAATGTCTAACAGAATCACAGCTGCAAGCATTTTTGATTCCTGTTACTTTTGTTCTTTAATTAAATGACTACTTATTGCAGGAAATGAACACGTTTCCTAAAGCTCTTTTTTTTCCCCCAAGGACAGCTGGGAAGGGAGGAGATCACTGTTGCTATGCACCAGATCATATTGCTTTTTTATCATGACAGAATCTTCAAAAGGATGATCTTAACTGAGGTTTTCTGTCCTCTGGAATATCAATGTTTTGGACCAGATCCTAACCAGCAGAATATGATTGTCATTTGACACTAGCTGAGGGTCTGGTCCTCTGAAGAATGACAGTTCAGGTCACTGTTATTCAAAATCAGTAAACTGGACAAGCAGAGATAGATACATAACAATGAGCTCTGATGTTTGGCAAACAAATAATTCTTATGCTTTCTTGACAGTAAGAAAATAGTTACTAGATACCAGTAAGAAAGCTAATAGAACTGTTCGAGGAAAAAAGTTATGCCAGACATTCTATTAATGCTCAACACCTAGGAGCAGCTGAGAATTCTACTCAAAACACTACTGAAAGGAAAAGCATAGGGTAAAAAAAAAAGTGCTATCTGGAAAGCAACAAAATGGCACATCCACTCACAGGACAAGAATTTCTCTGCAAGAGTCTTAAATGACGTCCTTTTAGGGAGCTGCTTAGTATTAAAGACTTGAAGAAGGTGCTCTTGATCTTGTAGCATCATTGAGATGATCTCCATAAAGCATGAAAATAACAGAAAACACAGAATGAAAAATAGTTTGTATAAACTACTCCTAAATCACTGCGAGATGGAGAATGAATCAATGCAAACAGCGGATGGACTAACTTTCCATTCTCTTCTGCTGCTCAGTGTTGGGATGGAGTAAGGTAAATACAGTGCTCATCTTTGGCTAAACTAAAATTTAAGAATAGAAGGTAAGTACATACAGTTACAACACTCAAAATATACATTAGAAAGTGAAGAATCCTGGGAGGCGTGGTGCCCAGGCCCAAGGAAGCTCGCTGGCTTTGCTGTAGCTACCTGCAGTTCTGTACAACTTTTTGTGTTTGACTTACGTGACTATCAGTTGAAGACCTGAACTACCCAAAGATTTTTTTTTTCTTATTTATTGCAGTTTTATAACTTGCTGGCTTTTCACAGGTACATGTAACACTGTAACTAATAACATACTGTTATTTATATCAATAATTTTATTATTAATAAAATACTATTAACTCTAAATGACAACATAGTGATAGTCCAGGTGTAATATACAAAAAGGGTAAACAGAAGGGATAGAAAAGTTTCTTCAGCAGAATGACCATAGTCTGAGAACAGGAGATGACCCACTGTTAACTACAGCCTTGGCCAACAGTCCATGAAAGTAACACTCCTGTTCAGTAGCGATGTGTGCTATCACTGGTAATAAAAACACTGCATAAAACACATTAAAGGGAAGTTGAAAAATATGAATAAAAAAAAGATTTTAAGGGTAACTAAGAGTAGCTTCAGAAATTTCTAACAGCGGCTATGAGCTGTATTACTAAGGTGACTTAACCATCTTGTAGTTATGCAGCAAGAAGCTTTACTTCTTCCCCACATTCTCAGCTGTCCTTCCACCACCAGCATCCCAGGCTTCAGTATGGTAAGAGCCAGCAGGTTGTGACTGCTGCAGAGTCACACAGGGTCACTCTCAGCTTGCAGCAGGGCAGCTCTGTCAAGTTGTTTGGAGACCACATGCAAAAAAGAGATCATTTCCCAATGCTGAATGTTGCCTTTGTGAATGCTCCCTTGTGACACTGCTTACATGTGCTTGTACCTGCTCAAAGCTTTTAGAAGGTAACAGGGCTGGGTCAAGACCAACATACTTCTGAACTTTCATACTTGTATTTTATCACAAGTCCTCACTAAAATTAGCAGTTGTATTATTTTTTCCAATATGCACTCGCTATGGGAAAAGAATTCAGGCCTTGCATTGGACTTTTTAAAACCTTGTACAGCTAGGAAGAAAAAAATACTGTTCCATATACTGATAAAATTCAGTTAGACCAGTAAGAAAAAGGCATACCATCTCATGAGGTCCATCTGGTGGAGATAACAGTGATCACAGGGTAAAAATATAATAACCCCCCTCCCCAAAAAAAAACAGAAGCTCAGAAAAATCAGAAAAGTACTAAGTACATTTAGGTAAGGTAAATGGGATGAGTGGAAAAAATTATTTACTGACAACCTCCATATAATAATTTCCAGAGACATCACAGCATTGCATTTTTTAAATTAATTCATAGGAAATATATTTCATTTACAGCTATTTCTGTAATGAACCATCTCCCCATCACTGAAGACTAAGAACACTTACTCTGCATTCTACTCTCAGTGCACAGTAAGATGTATTTGACTGATGTTCAAATGCATATTGCTGATTTAAAGCAAAACAGTAATGATGTTTTGTAAAACAAAAGACAGACAATATACATTTTTCTTGAAATATTTAATTCAACTATTTGCAACACAGCTCAACCACAAGTGTTTAGGTTTTGTTTTCTCTCAGAAACTCCTAATGAAGTCTAACAGCACAGACAAATAGGACTGAGATCAAAACAGGCAATTCGATCCCTAAATTCTGACTACATTCTGGATCAGACAAAAGGGGTATTTTGTACACACAGACCCGAACCAGAGATTCAAAGTGAAATTCAAAGTGATTTCTTTGAATGTCAGTTAAATGACCTATCAAAATTGTTAAAGACTTCTTAAAAAATAGCATATGCTAAAAATCCAAGAATTTACATACTGCATTTTATCAGATTCTGTAAAATAATTTCAAATCCCATGTATAAAAGAAGTCTTATCCACAAAGATTTGAATATTATTAAGGAAAATACACTTTCATTACAGCAGGTCCTTGAGATCAAAAAACAAAAGTTGACAAATTTTACATTATAAAAGAGCGTTTATATTCACCTTGAATTTCAGGAAGGAATCTGACAATATTACTGCAGAATTCTATCTTCTGATTGAAACAGTGTCTGCAATCCTCTGCGAACATTACACAGCTCCTCTTCTTGCTGTGTAAAAAGCATTACATTTATCACATAAAATATTATAATTCTGGTGCATAGCATATGCTGCTTTTAACATGCCAAACATGATGTTTTTCTTTTCCATTTCAATGTTCAATATATTAAGACTCAGAGTTAAAACAGTCCATCCGAATCTACATGCTGCTTTCATCCTCCAGATCAGGTTTCAAGTACAACATGTCAGTGACACTTGGATTCTGACTCATTTTTATTTTTTATATATAGAACTAGAAATTGCAATTTTTAGTAATTCACTGTTCAAACAGCTATACTTGAACAATGAATAAAATGGAAGACAACATAACTTCATTTACCATTTCTTTCAGAAGCTTCGCTTGGAATCCTTTTAAGTCTTCTTTCATCAGATGCATCTATAAAAAGATACGTTCAGTATCTTCTGTGTTCACAATTGGTAACCCATTTCAAGAAGACAATTACATCCCTAAATGGTTTATAACAGAGATACAGATGCACATGCATCCATGTTCTTAAGGAAAGGGATGAGTGTTTTGTATTTGTTCTTTCCTGGATGATTAACACTAGTAAACAGAGCCACAGAATACACCTTACAGCAGTTTTGCAGATAATTGCATAGACCTTCTAATGCATGAAATCTAGGCCTAAGGCACTGAATATCGTTATGCTAAAGGACATTTTATGACAATGAAAAAGGATAAAGACTTTCTTTGGGAAACAAGTCAATGCTGTACCTTTTGGTAAAATTGAAGAATTGTTAAGAGCAAGAAGGAAACAAAAGTTCATCGTACCTCTGAAGTAAAAACACGTTCTTCACAGTCACCAGTATGGCAGATGTTCTTTTCAAATGAGCTTTTCAGAATCTGAATTCTAGAGAAATAAAAGGCAGTTCGAACAGCTTTGCTACGTATGAACTTTCTACACATGAATATATGCCATTATTCATAGTCTATATGTACTTATAAGCATGGATAAATGTTACTATCATCGTTACTACTGGAATAGTCCCTCAGGTATATGGAGAAATTTACACAGAGAATAATCACATTTTTCCTGTAACATATTTTAATCTAATTTTCTCATCTCAGCTGCTATCTCTATTTTATGGAAGAAAGTGCACAGAGTTGGCCTAACTTATACTCCAAACAAACAGAACACAAATCTCACCCCAGAATCAGTGAAGCCTACTAACCTCTGCTGCTCATTTTTCACAAATGTACTAAAAGTATGTGTATGTTTTTTCCAAAAGGTCTGGAAAGAAAAATATTAATAGATGATAATCAGTAGGGACTCATATTTTCTGACCTAAAACTGACTAATACCTACTATGAATAAATCTCAGACTCAGCACAGAATGGGTAGGAGTTAACACAGTCACCACAGAAGCGTGGAGGGGGAGAAGAAGGGATGCTTAGCTGGCAGGATGAGGCACTTCAGGAATTCTATTTTCATGGAACCGATTTAACCAAAAATCTGTTCTGCTTAGCAGTTTCAAAACAATGAAAAAGAACATGCACTCCATTTTAATCAGACCTTCCAGATAATTTATGCCATGCCTTCAGAGAAGAAGAAAAAGTAAGTGTAGTCTTGTGTTTACATGAGTTTTACATATTGATTTTTACATTACAGCAAGTAGCAGAAACAATGTCAACTGGCTGGGCGTAGAACACGCAGCAGATCAGGTTCAAACGCCTACATGCTGTTCCTGAAAATAAGGCTCCTGAAGTGGGGTAAACAGCCCATTGAAACTGGTTGTGGTAGTTTGTTCTAGGAAGAAAACCTAGAGCAGTGATCCAGAAATTTTAAGAGCAACACATTAGCCAATGCTGATACCTCAAACCCACTATTTGATATGTGACCCAACTTTAAGGAAAATGATGGAGGCTTTTTAAATCAAAACTAATGATCTCAAGTTACAGATGATATGAACAGTCTATGGATTCCACAAGAATTCCCTTTTCTCCATGATCAAGCAATTAAAATACAAACCGAGAATTCTTTTTCCATGTTTTTCAGGCACTGAGAATCATTTTCAAAACTCTCAAGTTGCTCAAGGAGAGCAGAACGGAATTCATCCAGCTGCCTGCTCCTACCAAAACAAAACGAGCTGCTTTCAGGAGGTATTCACTGCGTTTAAAGGATGCTTTCAAATAAATCTTTGGTTACAGACCTGCATTCATGAAGCTGGTAGCTCATGGCTGACAAACGCTCATGCGCAGCTCGCAGCGATTGTTTAGCAAAATTATCCATTTTCCTGGAGCGGCTCTATGGGGATGTTTTAACATTAAATTCAGATTATTTTCACTTTAGGAAAAAACCCCAACCCTGTAGCATGTTTTGTACTGTAACTGCTCAGTATCACAGATCATACTGAGCAAAACCCCTTTTTTTTTTTTATCATCTCCGTATCTCTGAAGGCAAAACTTTCTATTAATGAAATATAAGTAAAGATAGCTTTGTGTTTTTAATAAAACTCTACCTAATTTTAATGTAGTTAAATAGAAGTACATTATGTACATATATAAAATTAATTAATGTACTTAATTAGAAGTACATTGTTTGAAAAATACGTTTCTTCAGACTAGTGTAAGTATACATGGAATGAATGATGTGTGTGTGCAGCTGCCCGAGATGAACAAATACATTATTCAGGCTCATGTTTTCCTTTTTGCGAAGGAATGTCATTCATGGCTTTCATAATTAAAAAATAAATAAAAATCAAAATGCAATATGCTCACTCCTTTAAATACATACACGTGTTTTGAAACTACATACAAGATAAAAACCAAAGCAGACCTGGAAAGAAAATCATTCGAGAGTCACATACTTAAAGGAACTGAAAACGGCATAAAAGGAAACTTGAATTTTATGATTTCCTGAAGTTCTATGCACATAGCTGTTTTCATGTTCTTTTAAGCAAAGTCTGGAGCGTACTACAAGCTATCATTTAAATGCACATGTACTCAACACAGACAACTAATATTGTATATGAAATATCTTGCCTCAATTTTCTTAGTAAATTCTTTTTGGAGCTTCTGACAGATACTGACAGTTGAACTACCAGGCTCCCAGATTTCCCCATCCAAACCAGGCAGATCATTTGCAGATACAGTAGAAACGCTTTCAGACACTGAAGTAGAAAAGAAAAAAAAAAAGATAATGTTACAATTCAGAATACAGAAGTATTCTATCTGAAATTACAAAAGGGCCTATAACAGCTTTTGTTAAATACAGATGTCTGAAATGCCTCAGAAATCAAATGGCTGAGACCAGTTTCTGTTTTCGTGTAAAATGTTTTTTAACGGATATAGTCTCTAAATATTTAGAATTTCTTTTTATTTCTTTTTTTAAACACGTAAAATATTTTTTAATGGATATTATCTTTTCTTGTTAAAACTTGGTTATGGTACTTTAAACTTCTGCACAACCACAGTTTTCACTCTGTAGCTAACCTCGGTAGGTAGCAGCACTCTCTGTTTTAAATAGTTCTCTAGGCCGTAACTTTGTTCTTCTCTTTCCTTTCATTTCCTCCTCTTTGCTTGTTTCTGCCTCATCAGAATTGCTTTCTGGATCACTGTGGTACCTTCGTTTGAGAAATGGCTGTATAGTTGGTCCTTAATAAACATGAAAACAAAGCTTCTTGTTAGGATTATTTAGAATAATGACATGGGAAGATAAAGAAGAGCCAAACTCTAGCATTATGTGGCTTTAAAGCTCAAGAATTATATAAAAATTAATTAGTATTACCTTCAAGGAGGGCATATTCAGTGATAGGAGAACTTGTCAATGAACAGCAGGATTTCAATGCACACAGACCCATTCAAGACTTGTTCATTAAAGGCGTTCACGCTAAGCCCTCTTTTCCTGATAATACCATTTAGCCCCACTTTTTGTCCAGTGTCAAAAGAAATCTTAATCACTATCTTAAGAGCACAACTAACTCTTTACAGTAACTGCATTTTGGAGCCCAATTTTCTTTTTTTTTTTTTGAATGGGATAATTAAAACAACACAGAAAATGAGAAAAAGAGTAGACATAGAATACCACTGAAAATACGTAAAAGAAAACGTAATTTAAGAACTTGAGTTTTATTTTTATGCCAAATAAACATTTTCCTTAACCTTCACAGACACACGTAGAAAGTCTTCTGCTTCAAATGAAATGTTTGTACCTGACTCATGCATGGGGGCATAAGGTTCTTCACTCCAAGACTGTACTTTACTTCCACTGGAAGCAGATGATGGAGTTGGTGCTACACAGTCCTGAAAGAAAAGTCACTGACTGATTAACTTGCAAATTCAAGCACTTTCAAAAGTCTTCAGAAATCCACCTTTATGTTGCTTTTCATTATACCAGGGACATGAACACACTACAGTTCGGAAACAAAAAGAATCACTGCATGAATTACTACTAGGTCACACTAGATGAAAGAATAAACAACTTCACCACATTGATCATTAATGATAGCAGTACCTCAAGCGACCAAGAAGGTCTAACTGTTTCCTGCAATAGAACACAAACAAAAGGATTTCTTAAAGAAGTCATTAGTGCTTTTTTTCCTACCAGAAAATTACTCAGAAGACGTGGTCTGGAGGCATCCAGCAGTTTTGGTTCATATGCCAGTGCTACAATAGTTGTGACATTGAGCAGTACATTAATGCTAAAACTCTAAGACCTCTTTTTCACCTCAAGAATTTTTCTATGCAGATGTCACAATTCTTTAACTTCTGAAAAATTGTTTCTTTTCTATTGAAAATCCAGAAGGAAATATTTACTCCCTGTTGTTTAATGTATTAATTATCACTGATCTTGCTGGGATACAATTCTTCCCTTGTATCCATGTGACAAACAATTCCCTAACTTATCTCAAATACTTAAACAATAATTAGTAAGATTTTCCAAGAAGGTCACAAGTAAACATTATATATAGTGTTTAAGAAAGATGCATTTCCCTTAAACCTCCCCATCTGTAAAGTAAATAAAACAGAGGAAAAATGGCTGCTCATTTCTGGAGATTAAAGGCTTTAGTAACATACCTCCTCTTTACTTTTGGTGATAGGTTTAGTCGTATCTTGTAGTTTTCCTTTAATAGAACGTGTGTCTGAAAAGCAATGTCTGAAACTTGAATCTTCATTATTATCTCGTGGTTTGCATGCAGATCCCTTTGCATGTTTTCCATTAACAGTTTTGTATGTCGGTAAGCTGAGCTACACATTAACAGAACAAAATAATTGAGAGGGGATATACAAAAAGCATAAAGCAGTTGGCAGCTGAATGGAATCATTTTCAGTTAAAATAACTGTAGAGTAACTTCAATGTTCTTACCAAAGATGCTTCACTTAAAGCTGGTGACAACCTTGTATTTCCAAATGTTAACTGTTTAGCAGGCATCCCAGGGGACTGATTGAGAAACAGACTTTGAAAGTTCTTTTTCTGGGGACAGAAATCACCAGGAGATATTCCTTTCTCAAAGTTTAACATTTCTGGTTTTTCTGGTGTTAACTCCTGAAGACCAAGTGATCTTTCACTACCAGTATGTTCTTGAGTAACATCTCCTCCTGATATTCTTTCAGTACCTAGAAAACAATTACTTAACTGTCAGCACAATGAATGACAGTTGAAAAAGGTAAGTTAAAGCCCCATATTGCTAACTGTTACAAGTCTAGGTATTTGCACGTCTCAGATGTGTGGAATTTAACTTCAAGTGCCAGCATACAACTTCCCACACTTGCACTTTTTGCACTCCCTGCACTATTTTAGCAGTTACCACACTCATTCTAACACTTCTGTATTGTGCTTCTATACTTTGCTAATGTCAAATAACTGCACCAACCTATACAAGTGTTAGTGACATGTCAATATGCTTCCTTAAATTACGTGCTGGACACTGAATTAGGGGATATCTTTTTAAGATGAAATAAATGTAAAATTGTACTACTATGATAATCCTCATTTAGCCTCCAATTTTTGATACAGTGTTGCTATAAGGTCAAAATACCTACATCTCATGATCTCAAGAGACATGGGACTCTCAAATGAGGGCATTTCAATTTGCTTTTCTTCTGCAAACTTCTTTGATTCAGTAAATGCCTTATGTTCATAGTTTGCTACTTTCTTTGGCTCCACAGATGAAACATTCTGGAGTTCCTTTTGCTGATTATCATCCCTGTTTTCTCTATTCATACGTTTCTATGACAATACAAAGTTTATATAAAACATTGTTTGTAAACATATGTAAACATATGGAAAATATATACACATACACACAGGCAAAGAGCATATTATCTATATATATTGTTGAACAAGCAGAAGGTCCAAAAGGAATACCATTAGAAGAACTTAAATTCATATCAGGTGTTCTAATACCAGTAAATATTGAATTTGTTTAATTCAGCACCCAAATTCCTATTCTTATTAACTTGTTCACTACTGGAAGCAATTACTGGTGCTTTAGGATCTAATCAGTGAAGTTTGCAGACCTATCCATATACAGGGAAAAGCTATGCTAAAAGAATGCAAAGAGTTGTAGCAGCCAATGTCATTGCTTAATTTACTAGAAATCCTGTTTGGATATTTAGCAAATATACTGACATACCCCCTATCAAGTCAGTCTTTTTATTGTGCACAGAACAGGCTTAGGATTATCCATATCACACTACAGAAAAGAGCAAAATCTGGCTCCATAGAACTTGTTATGTTCTTAAAATAAAGGACACAGTAGTACTTTGCAGCAGAAAAATTTCATAAATGGAAACTGAATTCCTATTATGACTGAAAGATTATTTAGGACTAATTTTCTTAGCAGCTAAATACTCATATTAAAGAGGGCACTACTAGAAATAATAAACTCCATTTAAAGTCGCTCATGTCGGGCACTTAGAATTCAGGAGCAGTAAGTACGAAGTGGACCAGAATATATATATATAAAAAAAAAAAAAGTCAAAGTGAATTTTTAAGAATAAAGTACAACTCTATACCTGTATTTTTGCTTTCTCCTCCTTAGAGATGCATGTTAAAGATTCCCTTTCACTCTCTGACTCTGAACTGGAAATCTCTTTGTAGTTTTTTGCTAATGCTGCTCTTCGAGGCCGTTTTTGTCTGGTTGTTTGTTTTATTGGTTCATCAGTTTTTGAATTCTGTTTTTTACATTTGTTTGTCTTTGGAAGAATAAAAACATCTTCAGCTTACACCAGAATAATTAACAAACATGTAAGAATAAATGGCAGCTACCTTGGTTTCATGACTTGAAATCAATTTTTTCAAAACAACTGAAAATCACAACTTTACTAAGTCTTGGAGAGTTCTACCATCAATCTACTAAGCATTTTAGGCAGATAATTTTCACTGTAGGTCAGGCTCAGTGCAGCCAGGAATGTGAGAGTCAAAAAAGGGAAGAGTCAAAATAAACCTGATTTTTGAACTACAGCAAAGCTGCAGTGGGTTTCCAAAAGTGGCTCTCTGAAATAAACACACGTTTAAATGAGACTGCAATTAGTTTGAAATAGAACAAAGCCAAAAGCCTGCACAGTGAGCAGGAACCAGCATCCTTGATCATTACCTTTGAACTGATCACCTTAACAACCAGACCAGAATCAGTCTTCCTTTTTCTATCTGTCCCCCTTCTACTCCATTACTACTGCCACTCTACACAGCAGGCAATGTTCAGAAACAGAGCAAAGCATGTTCTCACTGAAAGTACCCCAGGGACCTGACATTAGAAGGGGTGAAAAAAATGTAAGTGCAACGCCTCTCAGACTAGGAGAGATCAGAACTCTGTCTCCTACTCTCTTGAAAAGTTCTCTAGACAAAATGTATGCTGGGAAACAGCTTCCTCATTTCCAGGGTCAAGTCTATGAGTGACTTCAGATGCCCTCCACCTAAATCTATGCAGTAGTGGAACCCTACCTCCTCAAAGTAGGCACTTTGAACTTGCTTGGGTAGATCTGGGGCATTTTGTTACTAAAATAGGGCACATTAGTAAGCAGACAGATCCAACACTGAGCAATTGAACCCTCCTCAGGGTATTATATGAATGATTATTATTATTTTATATGAATACTGTGTATTCAATAGAGTGGATGGCTATTAAGCAGTAAATAGACATCATCAATAATTTTAAGTAGTAGAACTTACAAAAACATCATTGTATAACAGTCATTCTAACTCATAGCCAGTGTTATGCCTGAAATACTGGCTAGATGCTACAGAAAAAGAATACAGTACCTGAAAAGAATAAACTGTATTTAACAAGAGACCTTGAAATAAGCATGGAGAAATGGCACATATTTATGAACAAATATTTTAAACCATTTTATGTACCAAGTTCAAACATTTTGAGCGTGTATTACAAGTCTAGTTGCAAATTTACATTTACCTTTTTCTTATTTGCATTTTTGCCTTTAGGTTTATCCACATGGCAAACAGGTTCAGGCCATTTATCTGCTGTTACAATGCATAAAGTTAGAAAAATCAGCAAAATATTCAAATGTTTGACATCCAGAGTTTTAGCTGTGAAGTCACAGAATCACTTTTATACCCACAAAGTTACTGATTCAATACACTTTATTCAGCACATTATTTTCAAAAGCCAAAGGTTGGGTGGTTTTGTCGACCACCACCTCTGCCTATCCCATTTTCCATGTTAAAATCCAACCCTTTTAGAAAGTCACCTTTGTAAATTATTATAACTAATTTGAACATTCCTTATGCTTGGAAATAAGACAAAAACCCACTTATCTGTAACACAGCACATTACATGCTGTGCAGTTAATGTCTGTGGACAAATTTACTGCAGCATTCTTAAGAAATATAGAAAAAGTTCCTCACTTTTGTCTGCGTTTATGGGTTTCCCCAAGTGCTTATTTCTGCTGTAATCAATTAACTGGGCTTTAGGTTTTCTATTCGATTCTTGTAGCCAACTAATATCTGTCTTGCAGTCATCGCCTCTGTTTTCTGTGTCTGTGTCACTGAAGAGATGCTTCTTGTTTTTATTGTTTGCAATCTACAAGACAAAAAACCTTTTTAATTTATCCATTTACTTTTAATGTACCTTTCACTTACATAATTGGTGTGTAAAGGCAGGAAGACCAGGTATTCTGAGCCACAAAAACAGAAGTCTTACTTGTTTTCTTTCTTTCACTTCAGTTCTAGTTTTACCATCATCTGCATTCCTTAATGAGAAAAATAAGACACACCTTTAAATGATACATTTACAAATACTTGTTCTAAATGTTTCTGCTGTTCATGTGATATCTGGATTAGGGATTCAAACAAATGCACCTACTTTTTGTTTGCACATTGATTTTGGAAATACCTGTTCACCTTCAACCCTAAAGGATGTGCTTATTTGCTAACAATCCATGAGAACACGCAGTGAGGATACGTCTCTTCGCAGGCTGATCATAAACAAAAACCTCCCCCCTCTACTCAGGAGTTTCTATCCCCATAGTATTCTATGAAGAGAACTAAAGTTGTTTTCTTCACGAAACACATTCTTTCCTTTTAGTCAGCTTCCCAGAGGAAAATCATGAGACCACAGCAGCTATGTTCATTGCTTGAAAAACCAATACAGTCAAGATATTATTGTCATGCATACATTCCCTGGATTTTCCTAACAGACTGCTGCTGAATTCAAACAGTACTATTCCTGATAATCAGCAGACTAGGACAAAATAGACCATCCCTACCCTTTTTTGTTTGAATGGGCGCTCACTTCAGTAACATGCAATTCTTTCACCTGAAAATGTAAATAAATAAGAAACAAGTGGAAGTTTTCATCATACAATTTTGACAAAATTAAAGAGGCCACCCCAGTAAAAGCTAGGGGCTTTTTTCTTGCTTGCTTTTTATACTCAGCAATTAACATATGACAATTAATTTCTATCTTGGAAATTATTTAAGAACAGAACCAAGTGGCAATGACTGAAGCTTTTACTGTCTCAAACTAATAAATGAGTTTCCATTCACTTGCTTTGCTACTTCTACCAATCCAGCAGGCTCCTTCAAGCCATAAGGAGCAAAACTATCTTTCCTCGTCTTTGCTTCTATCTTAGCTCCATTCTCTTTTCACTCAAACATCTGGGCAAAATGTCTTTACAATGGGGATCAGAAAGATGGCAATAACACTTTCAGGGTAACAGGATAATTGAAAAATAATGATACTCCTAACAAACAGTTTGATTCTTAATTCAGGAAAACACTGTTACAGCTTTAAGTGTAAAGCAAACTTTTCCCCCACTTAGTTCAGTGACATGATTTGAATTTTTAGATGTTAACAGTACTTTCAGTTGACTGAGCTCTTTTATATTCTATTCATAACATATCAGTTTCAGGTATATTCTTACTCCAAGCTTTATTGTAGGCTCATCAAACCCACTGATGTTAAAGTTGTAGACATCATCCCTGTCAAACAGACACAGAGATCAGTTTTGCAACTGAATTGTGAACATTCCACAAAGTTAAGCACGAGTACATGGAAATTTTGTTTGAAAACGTTTTAACTACTTACACAACAGGACCAGCAGTTATATTAAGAAAAGTAGAGCTTTTCAGCTTTCTATCCTGAACTTCATCCTACACATAAAGAAAAAGTTAACTCCTATGCCAAATTTGGACTATGTTTTCATATACAGTCATCCTACAAAGTTATTCATCAGGAACATATGAAAAACCTCAGACCTCCACTTGATTAGCAACAGTACAATGTGGCAAAAGGGGACAAGGACTAATAGAAACTAAATCTTTTAAAATTTAACCTTTAAGGATATCAAACCCTCAGAATTCTCCCCCTCCCTGCCACTCCAAACATTATACTAATTTCTGTCCTGGCTATATCCCATTCAAGGATTCTGTAATCTCATTTATGATAATATTTTTATTCTAAATATTTAGCATTGCCATGGTCAAAATGAACAGATTCAGTTATATAATATGTAAACAGAAATTACTGTGGGTTTCAGCGTCTGACAGCTGCCTGTAAAAATATTATTCCACGTAAGTAAATATATAAAAATTATTTTAAGTATATACAGTCCATGCATAATGAACATCTACAGACATTTAACATTCAGAGGTATTTGTGAACTTTTGCTTTACTTCTACTATCTGCCACCCTATGTACATATATCAGATATGAAAAATATTTCCAACAAAAGCAGTACGTTACCTTAGAGACACAGGATTTATTTAAATGTGGCCTAAAAAGTAAGGACACATTTTGTTGAATGATAATTAGAATATATGCATTTAGAATACTGCTTATATATAATAAAAATCTTAAACACAACAAATTTATTCAGGCATTTAAATACAAACCTAAGTGGATTAAGAGAGATCAGCCCTTTTCTGTGCTCCAGAAAAATTGATACTAGCTCACACAGCTACACTGCAGGTTCTGCATGTCTTCCAAGTTGCTATCCAAAACGTTTAAAAGGTGACACAGCCTCACTGTTCCACTCCTTTGTCAGCCAGTTACAATCAAACATGAGGAGCATTTAATGACATGTAGAGTGTATTTCCAAACATCAGTTCCAGCAAGGAAAGACTGATTTTCTCATTTATTTAATTTAAGCTAACAGCCAACTCTTTCAGGAAGACAACCAAGAGTTTCAGATGATCAGAAAGTTGATGATTGAATCCAAGTCGGACCCCCAAACCTCGATGATGGAATGGAGACACTCAGCATGTGCAGTGCCCATGAACCATACCCGCTGATTTCTCTTCACAAAACATGTTATGAATGAATGAGCAACAGACCACTGAAGTTTCTAATAGCCTTTTAGTTATTTCAACTACTGGAACTATTCGACTACTAGACTCGTACTCTTCAGTACAACAGGATTTATCAGAAGTGAACAAACGATTCAGATGAAAGTAGGATATGAAATAACTGTAGACAGAGGAGCAGATCACAGACAAAGCCAAAGGCACAAGAAGCAGCAGCATGAAAGTAAATTAATAGTTCACATCATACCTGTTAAAACCCAAGGAGTCTCTTGCTTTGCTTTTCTCATCTGTCTTTACTTTATATCTGTCGCTGATTTTACTAATTAGTGATTTTGCAGCATCTGCCATTTCTTTAGACTTTGTTTTCTATAAAAATAGAATTTAAGACTCAACTTTGAACCCATTCAACAGAAGGGCAAAGCTACAAACAGAACTAGAGGTTCCCAGCAGCCACCTCAACTTCCTTAAATGCCTTCAAGATGCACTAGCAATCCTTTGAAAACCGTTTTCCCTTCATTATCCAAACAGTGAGCAATTAAATATTGGTTTAGCAGATACTGTCTTTTTCATGTTGTGGGTTTGGGTACTATAACATCCAAAAGTAAACAAAATAGTACATGAGAAGCTCAAGTTGGTGCTCAGTTAAGAATTATTTTGTAAAAAGATGATTACTAAAAAGAAACTCAGAGTAAACTGATCTTACACAGGTCACACTGAAAAAGCAAAGAGTGAAGCTGATGGTATTTAATGCACTTGGTATTAGTGAAAAATAAATTAAAAATAAGTTTGTGACTGAAACACTGAAAATTTGATAATTTTCTTGATTGCAAGTCAAAGAAATGAAGGCAAGAAACTCCCACCGTGTTTGATGCTTTTGGATTTGCTGTCTCTTTTCCAATGGAAACATCAGACTCCTCTTTTGTAAAACCAGAATGCAAAGACGTTTCGGACACTCTAGCTGAAAGAAATGTTTTAAACAATATTTCAGCAGTAGTTTAAGTATTTTTCCCTTCTGTACTTAACAGTTTCTCTTCCAAATGACTAACACTAACTGTCCACTAAATATGTTGCTGTTTTCTTCCCATGTGATATAAATTCAATTTGCTTGGTTTTCTTTTCTTTTTTGATTTCCTTGCTTATCTTTAGAGATACTTTAAAAAAAAAACTACCAAAAAAATGCTTTTTGTTTCACAGCTCATTCACTAACAACAGAAACTAATACAAGATCAAAATAAAAAGCACAGCTGTATGTTCAAATGTCATCTAAAACACTTTAATGCTAATTAACCGGTTAAAGTGTGAACATAAACTGGGTGGGACGTACGTTCCAATGACCGATTCAGCTTTTTCCTGTCACCCGTTGTTATATTCTGCTCAGGAACAGAGCATGCTCTTTTCTTCCTTGCTTTGCTTTTATCAAAAGAACTCTCCAAAACACAAGGTAGCCTAACAAAGGTAATAATACCTTATTAGCTGCAGAAAGTGAGTCTTTATTATAATAAATATGCATCACAAATAGGAAAAGAGTGCTATCTTGTACCTATCAATGCATTTTACAGCGGTACCTAAGCCTGCCAGCACTGTTCAAGTAGTCAACACCTTGTAAAATGGCAAACCTTCAGAAACAAGATGTATTTTTAAGTCAACTTCAAAAAGTCAACAACATCCTACAGCCACCATTAAACCTTGAACCTAGGTAGATCTGATGCGTCAGATTTTATGGCACATTTCACTTACATAAACCCATGTGTCATTTGTATTTTACCTTCTGATGTCATCTAAATTACTCTCCTTGTTACTACTAAAGCTTACTTAAACTCCTACTCTGGATTGTGCTAGTGAGTACTATTTTCATCAACAGGTTTACCAATTTAAAATCTTTTGATTAAGACAACATTCCAGTACTGTTCATGAAGCAGTCTTAGCAAATACATGTAGGAGTGCTGGTTTGGTGCCATGGATTTCAGGATAACAAAAAAAGTGACTAACAGAAGTGACTTGACTTACACAGCCAACAGTTCTGAATGCAACCCCCAGGAAGACAAAACAATTCAATTCTGGCATTTTCTGAAACTATGCAACAACATTTCAATTCTGGCAATACTTTAAATACACCCTTCAAAGTGAGGGACAACAACAGTGACTTAGCATTCTTTTCCAATACTTACAAAGGTTTGTTGCTTCTCCCTGCTGGCTGAGAATCAGGAACAATATCTAACACTTCATCTAAATGAGACATTAATTTGGTATCAATTATTACAAAATACACAGAATTAAAATAACTGTTAACAAGTTCAAATTTTAAAGTAAGGATATCAACACCTGGACAATTACTTGCCTAAGGTTTGCTTTTGTGTGGCCCCAGCTTCTGCCTCTTGTATCATTTCTAAAACTTCTGCACACATTTGCTACAGTGGGATAACACCCAAAAGAAAACATTAGCGTAGGACTATAAGCAGTACAACCTCATAAACTTGTATTTTCCCTAATAAAATATGAAATTATTTTTCATTTCATACAAGTGCTGATGTCAGTACCTTTTCAGGGGGTTTTGTTTCATTTCTGATACTTGATTTCCTGATATTCTGTTCTGTTTCACTAGACAGTAAGTTCTGTGTACGTTGTTGCCGACTCTGGAAAGCACAAATAGTAACACTAAACAACTACAATACACAAACACAAAAGGAGGACAATTCTCATAGAAAAAAGCACTTGAAATATTCTAAACCACACATTCTGTATGTTAAAGCATTTTCTGAAAGCACAGCTATAGAAAAACTGCTTCAGAATCTGGGATTTGATCTGAATTTCACCCAGAAAAATATTTAGAGCCAAGAATAAAATAAAAATCTTACTTTGAAATCTTTATTCAACTGGAACACAAGCAAAACTACATACACTCAAACTGCAGTTCAGTGACACTTGTGTATTTTTGTTTGATTTTAGTGAATGCCTAATAAAAAATGCACTAAACCCAATATAATACTATAACCTGGAGGCATTCAGGTTATAGTATTTATCATATTCATATCATATTCAGCTGCAGCTGAATGTACGTTTTTGAGAGTATTTCAACACTGCATAATTAATTTGGGATTCTGTGCAAGCTCCATTTTCGTATTATATACAAAGGAAGACTAGTGGCCCTAGTAAATGCAATTAACTCTGGGGTCAGAACTGAGAAGCGACTGAAAATTTTAGCTAATTCTGGAAGATTTCTGTCTGACTTTAGACATTTTAAACCTGAAATCCAGAGATCAAGAAAACACACAATGAAGTAAACACACTATTTTCTAAAAGTGAGTTGCTGACTGCAAAACTCCAGCTTTTTAAAAGATTAATTAGGAACAAATTAGAGTAGAAATTAATGTTACTCTAAGTAAAAGACTTAGCTACAGATGACATGCATACTCCAGTAGATTCTTGATAGAAGTTCTTTGTTCTGGTCTCATGTACTGTACTGTTAGACCTTTCAGTAGAGCTCATCATTTCCAAAGGTAATTTAAATCGTCCTTTGCAAGGAGTGGCTGAAGACAAGCCAGAGACATGTCAGAATTCTACCATGTCTTCTATTAAAATTCCTGTGCTGTCTGTGACATCAATATGAAGAATTTTGCCCATAATCACATCTATTCCAAAAGCATTAAAAAAATCGCTAGTGTTTATATCATCTCATATACCTTTTCTAATTCTATTGATTTCAATTGAGTTACATGGAGGCTAACAAGCCCATAGACTGGGGATGTGTGGAGGTAAACAATGCTTTTAGAGGCTGGCTCTGGGGAAAAATAGTTGGTCATCTATTTAAAGATTTTACTGTACTATCTTTTTGCTGGAATAGACTGGCTAAGCTGCAAATAAAAAAAAAGTTACATAAGTTCTAAGTGTTGTTTCATCTCAATCTGAAAATGCTTATTTTTCCTAGCCTTTGGTACTCTCAATTTATACATGATACACAGTTATACATAACTAAGGATACTCATGCACCTGAGACAGTTAAAGCAGGAAAATTAAGTTTGTTAGTCATGCTGTTCTGCCACTAGTTGCATCTCCAGCCTCTAACTGGTCTTTGTTTTATAAATCTCTCCCTTGTAGACAGTATTAAATATCTGTTACAGTAAGATTATTAGCAGGAAAGTAATGACTCCTTTTTGTGATGAAGTCTCTTCCTTATCCTGTTCTACAAGAAGCACTTCTGACATAAGCATCTTTGGCACTGGACCTGTAACTCAACCTGGGAGTGGGTCCCACCTTGCTCACTAGCCACATAATCAACTGCCCCTTGAAGAAACACATACAGTGTTTAGACAAGAGTAAAATGCAAGTGATAGATGTACACACTGTATAAAGCTGATTTTCCACCACCACTGCTATAAAAAGCACTGCTGAGGAGTCTTTAAACCAAGAGCACGTGAGGAGAGAGATGTAAACCCACCTATTTTTACATCTTCCAGTCGACTGCTGACTTCTCAGCTTGCTCCAGCACAAACAGCTGACTGACAGGAGCAGTAACAACATTAGGTGGTCTTCGGGTGTTTGAGATGCATTTGCAGCTACTACCCTACATCATGTCTATGGACCAGTAGCAAGTGGCTTAGTTTAAAAACTACAAGTTTAAAGCACCTGAGAAGGAAATTTATAAGGTCTACTCTTCATTTTCAGCTGTGCAAAGGATTACAGTTTATGCTCGTATTTCAAAGATGATTTATAGTATGTTTTTACTCTGAAAGTACTTGGAAACTTACATGTGCTAACAAATACCAGTGGACTCCTTGTGGAAAATCTCCCAGGAATAAGCACAGATGCTTCAGACACTTTCCTTTTACAAGACGTAGTTATCTTGAGGAACAGAAAAACTGGACCATAATACACAGATTTAAGAAAGAACAGACAAATTCTATCTCCAAGAGTCTTTTGACACTGTATTATTGGAATGTCAATTGCTGTTAATGCACAAATCAATGTAATGTGATTTTTATGCAGTTCCCTTTTTAGAGAAAGTTCACCAAAATACTTGAACTATCTAATACTCAAAACAAACGTTTTTGAACCCAAATCAGTGATTGTGATTGTTGTTTTCTAAATTAATTCAATAAAGCATGGACAAATCCCAGCCCTTGTCAACAATCAAAGTAGTCAAGATGATTCCCAGGAATTTCTGCAAAGCTATCACATAAATACTTCTATTGACTTGTACTTTTTATGCCCTCTGTTTTGATAATCCTGCTTACCTTGGAGGAACCACGTCTGCAGTTTTCTTGACTGTTATTTTTATTCAGAGTCCTCAAAGATCCAGGAAGTTGATGGGTTTTGTACTTACTGAGTTTGTCCTCCTCTTCAGATTTTTCTGGTGACAACTGACTTTCTGGTACCAGAATCTATATTATATTTTGCATTATTTAATTTTTCATGCAATGTTTTGATTTTATCATGTTTGATATTTTATATTTATACCAAAACACACCAAGTAACTTCTTTACCCTAAGCATCACATTCCTTACTCTCGATTTTGATAAACTTCAGAGCTTATATACTTCTAGTTTTAAATACATCCAACCTAACCGTTATTTTTGCTAACAAGCATGAGTTACCAAATCACAATTCACATAAAAGAAATGCACCTGTGTATATTTGCCTGATGTATTCTAAGATTTGGATATTAACATTATCATCTCCCCAGATATACAATATATGCTTACTAGAAATCACTTAATTGGTTTTTGAGTTATCTTTACTTACTGGCATTTTGTAAGTCCCTGTTTTTATGCTGAAAGATCATAAATTAGTTAATAATCAGACAAAATATAAACCTCATGAAAACAAGCATCTCAGCATACTGAAGTCACATACCTGTGATCCGCTTTCATCAAAGACGACATGTACAGTTGTTTTGGCAACTGATGCAGACTGCTTCTTACTAAAATCCTACAAAGTGAGTAACCATCTACGTAAAATACACACTTTGCTCTTTTTTTTTTTTTTAAACCAGAAATAGAAAGAAAATATTTAAGTAAGAGATGATACAAGTCTGCTATCAGGTTATATGGGAAAATGGATTCTACAAGCTCAAAGCACTTCCATTCCTCATGAGCTTCTAAAAGTTCAGAGCAAAGCAGTTTGTTACAAGCAATAAAGAGTAAGCTATGGCTTGCTAAAAATTTACTAAAGGAGTAAATTCACAAGAATGGTAAGCGCACTGTAAAAGTGAGATAGCCAAGGAATCATTTGTGAGAGAGTTCCATATTTGTAAGCATCTAGTTCTTGGATTTTTGTGGGAAATTATATATGCAAAAATATGTGGAAAATTATATATGCAAAATTTGACTCAAATCCAACCGTTAACCCAGTGCTGCCAAGTCCACCACCAAACCATTTCCCCAGGCACCACAGCTACATGTCTTTTAAGTACCTCCAGGTACAGTGACTCTACCACCTGCCTGGGCAACCTGTTCCAGTGCTTGACAACCCTCTTAGGCAAGAAATTTTTCCTAATATCCAATTTAAACCCCCCCTGGTAAAACGTGATGCCATTTACTTGCATCCTTATTCGGTATCTTTACCAAGGCTTAACATACTATGGTAGAAATGGTGTTCTGTATTGATGACGCTAATCAGAAACTGTCAGTACAGACAGACAGCAATAATCACAGCTATAACAACATTTATATGGCAATGAGACATTTATTTTGAATCAGTCAATTATTCAAAAGCTGTTTAAATCTTACCTTACATTTATTAAATCCATAAATCTTTCTGGTTACATCTTTGATTTCCAAGATGGAATCAAAATATAAGAAGAATTTCTCTCCTTCTTGATTCCCCACATGCATTGGGCTTTTCAGAGCTATTGTTAGTAATTTCTTTGAATCTTTCTCTGGAAAAAAACAAAATTTGAAAAGTAGTTTCATTACAGTTTAGAAACATCTCATATAATGTTTGTAACTACATGACACTTACTTGCACTTTTCAGTTCAGCTATTAAAATGTGTATTTTATTTAATTCACTCTAACCTACAATATATTTTCACTGAAACAATTCAAGATTCCATCTTTAAGAAATTCTCTATATTATCCTGTAGAATTTTCCTTATCCTTATTCTCTATAGATAGTATATTTTAGAATTTTCTTTGAAAGTTATTTACCATAGCTTCAGACAAACTGTAGAATTTACAAAACTATTCTAACTAGTTTAACAGGAACATCAGGAAATGTCATTGTCTTATGTGTTATTTTGTATTGAAATAACAGTAAGACGCTATCTGAATAAAATCACACCTGCATGTCTAAAATGTAATTTTATTCCTGATTAAAACAATGGCTATAATATTTTAAGTTGGAATTTTGCTTTGCTGAGGATTGAGTCAGTACTTCAGGATTAATCCAAGTTACTGCGTAACAAAAGGTCACATTTTTGAGTGCAAATACCTTCAAGGCTGTATTGGTCTACCTCTTCTTCTGGTATAATGACTGTTTCCCAGTGGTGATCCTTGTAAGAAGAATATGTATTTTAAAAGATAGAAAAGCATTATGTTACAATTCAAAGTGCAATGTTCAGGAAGTTATTCAGAGAGGACAAATTTTCAACTTTTTTAATCCTCCATTACAAGGACTGACAATGAGCACCATAAGCACATGCTTCATTTATAAGAGCGAACATTTCAGAAGAGCTTTGGTAAAGGCATTAAACAGTTGAGTCTCATCTACAAAAACAACTGCAATTTTGTGAAATGGCTTCTTCTTCATGTATGCATATGTTAAACTGTTTGCAAAGAGTATTTGAAAGTCATTACTTACAAATTGTTTGATCTAAATAGGTACACCAAGTCTAGATTGTCCCCCTCCACACTAAGTGCACACACAGCTCTGACATGTTGATATGGGGAAATAAATCTGATACCCTTAAAGAACACATATCTACTGCCTCCAACCAATCTAGTATGATGGACAAAGATTAGCTTACTGTATCATCTGCTGCCACATAGAAAGATATACTTCTGCTACCAACATTGAAATCAATCCAAAATTCTTCAAGATTTTCATCCAATGGTATCTGTAGCTAAACCAAAACAAAACAAGGAGTAAGAGCTGAGAGCAATGACTTACACCAGCTAACAGGCTTTGTGTTACAGTGTGACAAGCTTTAAAACATGCACATCTGTATACTCCTGGAAAAAAACATTATTTTTTCTTAACTAGAAGACAAAGAAATTCTTCAGCTGCACAAAGGAAAATCTGTGGATATATGATTGAGCCTGTAACTTACCTCATATTCATCAAGAGCTGCTGATAAACATGGATATGTAAAAACCCTGTAAGAAAAGGGTATTTTGTCAAGTATCCTAAACTGCTGTAAATAAATTTTGCATATCTGAACACAGCAACCTGACTGCATTTTCAGCACAATAAAAGATCGAAGCAACCGAAAGAGCAGTTACTTGACTTCACTTCTTCCCCACAGGAGATAATACGAAATTTTAAACATTCTCACAATTAAAGAGTTGTCTCAGACCTCTAGTATATACTATGTTCATACTTCCATCCTATCCTCTGATATTTTAAGAATGATATTCAACCTCTTTACTGTCATAACATATAAAATTAACATGCACAGCATGTGATCATATAGCTAAGAAAAAGCTCATATTTTCTTTCCTTTTCATATCCTATTTCTCTAGCAGATACTCTCCTCAATTATTATCTCCTAAATCAACAAAGTAACATATACCAACAGATTCTACTGTTTAAGAATCTTTTCAAATGAATGTTCTTTATTTAGTGAACAGTTTTTTCAAGCTGTTATCTAACACAAACATAATGTGTTAAAAGGTTATTCCCAACAAATGGCCATTAAAAAGAAGAAGAAAGAAAGAAAATGTCTTAGCTTTAAAAAATTCCATTTTACCTTCTTTTGTCTCCCAGCATTCCATTCACCTGGTTAAGAAATTTTCTGCAATCCTATTAAAACACAGAAATTTCTTAAAGAACCGCAAAACAGAAGTTTACCTCCCTGGAAATATTTTTTATATGACTTACTGTTTCAAACTCAGAATCTTTAATTCCTTTAAATGCACTGGACACAAACTCCATGGAAAACCACTGGCATGCCAGTTCTCCTCTTTGTTTCTCTGATATCATTCTGCATAAAGCTTCTGTAATGGCTACCTGCAGGTCATAGTCTACAGCACAATGCATTTGACAGGAATAGTAGTTTTAAAAATATTACTGATATGAAAAAAGCATGATTATGTTTTGATTATACTACAGAATAGTAGATTATATACTATATTATGATTATACTAGGAAACTAGTATAAGCAGTGCTGAACATTTAATGTTACCTATCCCATTATATCCAAATACATAACCCGTAAAGGATATATAGATAAAGTAGTAAGGGAATGAGAATGACTAATATGTTTCACAATGAAATTTCAAGCAAGCTTTCATGAATGTCAGAGGAACACGAGGTGAGCAAGAAGAGAGGTTTTAAGCTTTCACCTGTCTGATTTGGGAAACTGTTGGGTATCAAAGTGATCCCTGAAAGAAGTAGTTTAGCACTACTAAAAATGGCTTGCAGGTCACCATCCAAGACGACTTCACTTCCTTACCATCTTTTGCTATTTTGAAACTTATATTTTTGAGAAGGACTGAAAACATCAAAGAGCCATGCACTGCATGCATCTGAAACATTCCAGCTTGCAGACTGTTTTCATGCAGTATTCGTATTTTTCAGAGGACTAATTGCAATATCCTGCAGCTTTTAAATGCCTCCTCTGGATTTTTAATGGGTCTGCATATAATTTTTAAGAAGCTGGATATTAAACTGTTTATTAAGTCTCACACTCACCTCCAGCATCCAAAATTCTCTTCCCCATGTCACTCCTGACAAACAAAGTAATGTTCCATCAAAATATGACAGCAATACAAACTACAGAAGAGAAGTTTTATCTAATTGCAAGCTTTAATGTAGGAGACAAACCCCTGCTTCTACTAAACTATTAGACTTCAAAGGGGTCAGTGTGTTCTGCTAAGGCTGTACATCTGAAAGTACCACTGGGGGAAGTGAATCACCTCATACACATATAATTGTTATTCTACTTATTTTTCAAAATGTTATTAAAAAAAATCCCAAGGTGAACAGCTTGTCCTTCCAATGACTGATTCATGTGCTTTACACACATTCTTAAACATAAGTATTTCATTATTTTAAGACAACTGGGATGAGAAAAAGCCTAACCCAGATCAGGAAAGAGGTAAATTAAGGCTTGTAATGGAGAATAACCCATGAGGGTATGTGCCCACAGCCACTACCACTGGCAGTACAATAAAAAATGCAAAACAGGGACTGTGAGGGTCATGAGGCACTGGAAGAGGTTGTGCAAAGAAGTGGTGAATGCTCCATCTCTGGCAGTGTTCAAGGTCAGGTTGGACGGAGCCTTGGGTGACAGTCTAGTGTGAGGTGTCTCTGCCCATGGCAGTGGGTTGGAACTGGATGATCTTAAGGTCCTTTCCAGCCCAAACCATTCTATGATTCTATGATCTGCACATGTTATAAACAGCCTTAGCAAAAATTGCCTTCCCAGCTATGCAAATACCATAATGATATAAAAATTATACTGAAGATTATTTACATGACACACAACATTTCCGCTGTGGAAAATATCTTTTTCCTGGCATCTCGAGGCATGTTGTCAAGCATTAAATTAAGTTTTCTTACTACCTACAAAAGTGGAAAAAAAGGGAGCAAGATGTAATGTAAGTTGTTGAACTTTAAGTTATTCTTATTTCCAGCTCTTCTAATATACTTCATACCACTGAAGAAAATAGAATGCTTAAATAATTGCAAAACAAGAAAAGACAATGAGGTCTATCTGACCTTAAATGGTATTTATCTTGATATAACTACTTCAATTTCAACAAATTACATTACCTTTAATGTGAACATCAGTTGCTAAAGGGTTATAGTTCTTATTTGTAGGTTTAAATATAGAAAAAAACCCTAACTTTCAAAGCTAGAGTTCAGTTGATTGCTGAGCTAAAGTGTCCCTGAAATTTGCATTAAAAATCTTTCCTTTGAGGATGTAGCCTTTACTGAAGACAGTTTTTTTGTAACTTTCCCTTTCTTTAGAGAGAAAAAAAGACCTAACAACCTGAGATTACCAAAATAAACAGGAGAAATTTGCAGTATTCTAGAAGGTATACAAATTTCCTGCAAGTATCAAGAGAATATACAGCCAACAATCTTAATCCTTTTTATAGCAGTTCTAACAGAGCATATTATTTCCTATGCTTTTACACAGCTTTCTCACCAGAATCTTAATACCACTCTTGTGTAATTTACTGTCCAAAACAAAAATTGTAGGTCAGTAATCTCAAAAACAAACAAGCCAACCACCCAGTAGGTAGAAACCAACAAATATTCCCAGAGAAACATTAAACCATCCTTCTGATACCACAACACTACAATATTATCTTTTTTGTGCAGCATCTGCGCAGTTGAATTACTATCTTCACAAAGTCTGTTAAAACACTAACCAGGAAACGATTGCTTATAAAGAAGAATGCTTACCTCTTGCTGGACATAGATACTAATTCTTACATCAGTGATGAGGGTGCACGTTCTCAGAACAAAGTTCTCCAGTATTTCCATTTTACCTAATAAACAGGAAAAAAAAAAAAAAAAAAAAAAAGTTATTGACAGTGTCTTAGGGTGCCCCCTCATCAGCATACGGGAGAAGATTCATTTTCATTTAGAAATGTAGCATGCCTTCTTTTCCATACAGCATTACTGATATTTAAAAGTAAACAGCTTAACCTTCTTGGTTAACTGCAAGACACAATAGTTACTTCAATCACTTGTAAATATGGTTCTTTTTGATGTTTCTACTCCTGTGCATCACTGCATAAGTCTCCTGGGCATGAGATCCTAATTTTTAAATATATTCAGATCAATTCTGTAACTTAGGTCTCCAAGATCAAATTCTGACCCTGGAATTTATCTTCCCAGGGACAAGGAAATGAATCTTTCATTCTGATTGAGACATCAAAATGGTCCGTAGTGACCTTCCACCTTGTGCTATACTAAAAGGTAAGAGCAGTGTGATACTCATGATAACAAAGTCAATAAAGAAGGACTATTGTGTTATGCTGAGCTGTGACAGCTTAGAAACAGAGCAATGCCTGCCTTTTTCCTATAGCTATGTGTGTTACATTGCTGAGGGGACAAGCTGTGTAGCTACACTTCACATTCCAGGGTGTTTATAGGAAAATATGTACTTCACACTAAGATGTGTAAAATTAAACACACCTAAAAATCCATCTGTGTTCTGCCTCTCTGTGCACCACTCAGGAGTCCTGGAGCATTGCTCAGAGTGCAAATGTCCAGCCCCTGCTCCCACACCCAAGGTGCCAGGACATAAAACTGGTGTTGGGCATCACCTACACACAGGGAGCTCCAGAATGGTGCCACTCTTGTTAGGAAAAACTCAATTCAGTTGCCATCTCTGACAAGACCAGACTATCCTGCTTTTTTATTACTGACATCAACAAGTTACAAGGAAATCTGACAGTACAGAAACCTCAAATTAAACAAAGTTACAGATGACATTAAGGCTTTTTTTCACACGAATAAGAAATTCAGTCCTCTGTGTGCAGAACAGCCCTCTTGAAGATAAGCCTGTTCCTCTTACAGTTTATGAACTGAAGCAAACAGGTCTGGTGGGGTATTTACATCAGATCAAGAAACTCTGCACCATCCTCATTACACATTCTTCTCAGGACTACCTTCCCTCAAGATGGTTCCACAAGTACTGTGTAATTTTAACACTGATAAGTTTGCGATGCTCTTTCAGAACACTTTAGTGTATTTAGTCTACACTTTTTTTAAAGCTCACCTTCAGGTCTGCTATCCCATAGGGCCTGTAATAAAAAAAACCAAAACATGTCATTTTGATACTGTAAATATTACAGCATGAAAGTCAGGTAACATAACTACAAGCAAGTCATCAAAAAGCATTTAGATTTTAAAATTATTTCATCCATAATGAAAAACGTAAAATTGTTTTAATCCCAAGTGTGGCTTCCCAAATTATTTCAGTTACGTTTATTGCAATTATTTCCCTAGTAATAAAAATGTTATGAACTGAAGCCAACTGACAAACGTTATAAACCTGGACTCCTGGGATTAGCATACCAATAATTTATATAATCAATATTAGCCCAGGATGAAATTTTTTTGTTCACTGAACACTTCCATTGTTGTTTTTCATTTCATGGTGCTAATCATGATCAGAGAAGAACAAATACAGGCAAACAATTAACTTTAGAAGGATATTAAATAGAAACACATTTGAAAGTCTTGTTGCTAAACTAGTAATAATTACTTTGACAAATACACACAAGGTATCAATCTATTTTTTACTATCAATCTATTTTTACCAGCAACACATTGAAGAAATCTTCGGCCAGGCTTGTAATCATTTCACTCTTTTCATTTCCTTTGAAGATCAAAATTTCTTTTATCTTTTCAAACCAATTCACCATGTAAAGTGAAAATAAATCTATTTTAATAGCATGAAAAAGGACAACAGGTCTTATAGTTGAGTAAAATCAGTTACTCTGCTGAGCACACTTTGGCCCCAAACTGAATTTTTTTCACTCACACTAAACAAACGTAGGTGATTTCAAACTAATTTCAGTAGCTGACTTTCTAACACAAAACCCAGACATCTACTTTTACATCTGCCATCACAGATAAGGAGCTGAAAAACTGGCAGTAGGTGGATGAGAAAGTGTGTTTGCAGGTGTGAATGTAAGCACAAAATTACCACCACACTTTTTTAGTTTTAATTAAGGCAGTTGAGAAGGCATTTGAGTGATCCTCAGCTGAAATTGCCATCAATCTTCTGCAGTGAATTCCCTAGTGAAGCAATAAGGGAGTTGGTGTCTATTTTTCAGTATATGTAGTATGTTGACTTAACATATTTAACATGCAGGTTGAAATAACGCAAAATAATCAGACTAGCACTTTAACCTGTTGAAAGAACAGGTACAACATTGCTGTTGTGACTGTTAGCAAAAAAAAATAATCAAAATTAAATTGCACCAAGAAATTCCAATTCCTGACTCAAAAGCAGTACGAAAAGCTCATGGAAAAAGATACCATCTTCTTAAAATTGCTGTAAATTATCTATCTGCTGCACGATTTGCAAAACCTTCTCTATGGCAGAGCAGTGTCACTTTATAAGGAGCCACTTGTTAAAGAACATTTAAATCTGAATAACGTTTGTTCCAAAGTTATGGAAAATTCTTAATTCAAAACCAATCAAGGACCAAATTGAGTACCAAGCTATTGAGCACTGAAGCATTACTTATGCTTTATTAATAGTTAATTTTAGAAGTTCGTGTATGTGTTATGGTTTTACTTATCCTTCCAATAAGACCATATTTTAACATTGCTGGGAGCCCATCTTCTCCTGCTATGCTGATTTTTTCTGCACATTTCTGAAGAGAATTCAGTAAAATGGAAATGCTTCTGATTTCTTGTTTGTCGATTTCCTGAAATTGAAATCATAACATAAGCTTTAATGAAGAGTTCTGGAAGAACCTGAATTGAATTAGCCAGGTGTCTTTTTGCTCTCAAAAGCCACCTGAATTGCAGCTTGAAGTAGAGATTTAATTCTTAAGTTTTATTTCAGTTTTTCAAATCAGCTGCTGGTATAAACCAAGCCAAATGAAGCAATCTTTTTCAGACTATTCCAGTGACAGTATAGATGACTCTGATGGAATGGTTACATTACCCGACACAGAAGCTTGTCTAATTTGTTGACAAACTGTTTGCTGCATTTGTGAGAGGCATTTTCACAGTCGTCTGTCGCAAGAAATCGTTCTAATAATTGAAAATCCTTTTTTCTTGTAGCTTCATCAATTAACTTTTCAAACTGTCAACAATAAAAGTAAACAGAGCAACTGCATTCTTGTATGCTTAACACCCATACTAATTTAACAGTATTTAACATAAGTTGTCTGCAATCATCTGCTGCATTCTAAGCAAATATTCTGAACTACAACATCATGAAATGTAAAACCTGAAGTCCAGAACACTGTACCTAATACACGAATCATGCAAATACTCATGGGGTTTTAATTATTTGCTAGTTTTCCTTAACTAGTTTTTCTTCCCTTGTGTTACAAATAAATGCTTATGCAAGTGCTCGCCGTGTTAATACCCCTTCCTTAGTACATTTACCATTTTGTATTTCTGCATTTTCTACTAGGAACTTTAAAAGATATTAACATATTGGAGTATTACTGCCTTCCTCAACTATTTTGCCACTCTATTCTTTCTACAACAATTATAACCCAGTTTCAACATTCTGATCTTGAGTATCGTCCAATTGATTCATGTGCTACTAATACATACAATTTATTTTAATCAGTAACAACTTCCAGCTCCTCTTGCTTTCTAACCAGCTACTTAGCACTAACCTGCGTCAAAGGAAAATGTCTTCCTATCACATTCTTTGCCACAGTGCCAATTTTACATGTAATTAAACACCAGGAGTGCTTTAAGCTAGTAATTAAAACAATCAATACTCTCATTCTGGTCTATAAGCACATACCTGCATCTCATTCCTGGCTGCCATTTTTGCAGTTCATCTACTCAGCTGCAGAAGGGAACAATCATCACTTTGACCAAAACACAACTCACTGGCACAGGCTTCAAACAGGTTCTGGAAACATGTCAGTTATCAATCAAAACACATTACAAATGCCAACACCTGTCACTAGTATCAGTATTATTATTACTTTAAGAAATTAAAGGAACTGTGGCTTTAAGGAAACATCCTTACATGGATAGACAATTGCTTGAATTAAGACTGGAAGGAACGATCAGCTGTGGCAATGTAGGAACTGAGGGTGCTGCAGTGGACCCTCAGTACTCCTCAGCAAGAACAGAACATGAAGATGACCAACACCGCATTGTTCAAAATAGGCAGGTCAGCAGCAGAACTCCAGAAGGGCCTCATTATAAATCGTTTAAGAAAAATGTGACAAATGCATGCGGGGAAGAAAGTCTTAATTACAATGATGGGCTCTGAGATGAGTATTAACAGCAAATGCAAGATCTCAAAACTGGTTTACTGAAAACTCTGTCTTAATACTAAAAAGCCATCAAATTATCTTGTTTTTGAGAGTTAACAGGTAAAAAAAACAAGCAAACTCCAAACTTTTCGATACTTTGTATAAATTAATCTACATTGAGCAATCTACCACGTGCAGTTTTGGTCTCTCCATTCCAGAAATTACATAGCACTAGACAAAGCAAAGGGAAATGACCAAAACCAAGAAAAATAGACTTCTATAGAAAAAGCAAGTGGGAACGTTAGTCATTTCTGTATGCCTGAGTAATACAGAAATAACAACTACAGTGTGATTTATTCTTATTTTCTTTTCAATACAAGAACACAACAGCCTATGTTGAAGCCTTTGCTATCACCTCACAGGGCTCTCGCCTCCTGCCTAGTCAGACAACACAGAGAAGAAATTATCAACCCCTTCCAGGAGCCTCCTTCTCTACGAAAGCGTGAAACCTCCACCCTCGATCCACACGCAGTCGCTGGCATCCCCCCTCCCGCCCCAGAGCTCCGCTACTGAGCTGAACGCGCCCGGCAATGCCCGCGCCGCCTCAGCAGCGAGGCCCCACACAGCATGGCGCCCTCACCTCACTGCCGAAGCAAAAAGAAGCGCCCCTTCCCGCTGGCCAATCACTCC